AATGGACATTCAAGGCGCATTCGACACGGTCATGAGAAACAGGCTCATCCTCCGCCTCCGCCAGCAGGGCTGGCCCCTACCACTCATGAAGTGGGCCGCCTCCTTCATGTCAAACAGAGCAGCCCGTGTCCGGTATCAAGATATCACGACCGAGTATGCACCCCTACTATGCGGACTCCCACAGGGCTCGCCAGCATCTCCGATACTCTTCCTTCTATATACCGAGCCCATCTACAAGCTAGGCTTCCAGCTAGGTCGGTTTGGCTACGCCGACGACACCGCCATCCTCAGGACCGGCCGGACTCTGAGAGAGACAGCAAAGCTCGCGACGGCTGATGTGCGGGAACTCATCTCCTGGGGTGCGGCGAATGGCATCACCTTTGACCCCGAAAAGACAGAAGTGATGCACTTCAGCCACAAGAAGGACGACACGAGCCCGTCGGTAACACACGGCGGTATTGCCAAGGTTCCAGCAGAAGCGATCCGCTGGTTAGGGATCTGGCTGGACAAGAAGCTGACCTTCCGAACACACATCGAGAAGTGGGCGGCTAAGGCGAAAAAGGCGGCCGGCCACCTGCACGGCCTCTGCAATACAAAACATGGCCCTCTCCCGGCTGCAGTCAGGCGGGCGGTCAGCTGCTGGAGAGCAGAATCCAGGACCATCTATGGCCGCTACCCTGGACCAGGCAACATTAGATACGGGCCCGAGGTATCATACTGGCACTGAGAGCTACACGGCTTGGCACGGCACGAAGAAAGTTCGGCCTCAGATTCAGCACCTGGTCGACAAGCTCGACCCCGTCCTCCGCCGGGCCATTCGGGCCATCCTCCCCGTGTGGAAGACCACGCCGGTTCCGATATACCATCAGGAGAGCGGTATCCCTCCCGTGCCCTTGCTTCTTGAGGCCCGACGCATTCGATTTGCAGCACGCCTGAAATCCCTGGACTTGGCCCATCCACTGGCCCAGCGCACAGCGCCGACACCGATCGTACGCGCCATCAAACGGTCCTGTCAAGTCAGAGGAGGCGGCTTTAAGACTCGACTGGGGCGGACGGCCCTGCTCCTCCCCCATTGTCCCCGACCGACCCTGATTCAAGCCAGTGACACAGAAGCCGACGGTCCTGTCAAGTCAGAGGAGGCGGCTTTAAGACCCGACTGGAGCGGACGGCTCTGTTCCTCTCCGATTGTCCTCGACCGACCGTCGAGGGAATCTCTCCCGACGAGCTCGTCGTCTACTCAGACGGCTCCCAGCTCCCAGGCGGGGCCACAGGATACGGATACGCAGTCCACCAAAACAGTGTGACCATCTGCGAAGGATCTGGACGCCTTGGCCCAGCTGAAGTGTTTGATGCCGAAGCAGCTGGCGCGCTCGAAGGCCTCCGCGCTGCCGTCAAGATCCCCGACGCATCGGACAACCCGATCGTGGTCTGCTTAGACAATCTAGCTGCGGCTACGTGCCTCCGAGGTACAGCATTGGATTCGTCCCAATCGGCCTTCCTCAAGTTCCAAGAGATCGCCGCCGCACACGGCTCAATCCACGTTCGCTGGATACCGGGCCACACCGACATCCCGGGCAACGAACAAGCCGACTCACTCGCGAAGGCAGGCTGTGCCCTCCCAGAACCTCCAGACGCCAAACCAACCCTCGCGTACACCCTCAGAACGGCCAAGAAACAATCCAAGGAAGCCTTCCAGGCGTGGTGGCAAGAACATATGCCGGAGAAGTATAAAGAGCTGAAGCTCAAAGCAACCACAGGATGCCCGAAGGAACTCTCAATCTCCAGGGCAGCACTCCACCATCTTCTGGCAGCACGAAGCTCCCATGGAGACTTCGCAGACTACCATGAAAGATTCAACCATGAGGGCGCGCACATCACCTGCTCGTGCGGCCGGCGCAAAGCACCAAACCACCTCTTCTATTGTCGGAAGATTGCTCCACGGGACCGGATGAGGCTGACCCCCTCACCAGCCGCGGCGATCAACCAAGCAAT